CCTTCTTAGCTATTTTTATGCTATTACATGTGTATGTATAACAAGGTGAGGCATTGATNGGTTTTTATCATACCAAGGGCTGTTAGGCCCAGGGTTGATAATTAAAGTCATATACTGATACCAACACAACAACTAGTTTACTTAGCAAAGTATCCATTATGATTTGATTGAAAATAACAAAGTTATTGAGAATTAAATTCTGTACTTCATAATATGTAATGCACACAAAATAATAAAATCATACCAGCTTGGCCTATCTACAATTCTACATGTATATACAGTAATCATCACAATTCAAATAATTAAAAGTAGATTTCAATAATTATCACTAAAGCACAAATCTATTCTTTTTGACGATTGATATTAATGCTTAAGTTTGTTCCTCCAATTTTGAATGACACATCTATTTCATCAGTAGCAGTTTTTTCATCGAAAATATAAACATATAAACTGATTGAGGGAAATGCTTTTTTATGCACTTTAGCACTCCCTTCCCTCAATTCAGCACAGTAAATGTCTTCCATTGATATCTATACAATATCATAGCAATAAGTAATATTACAAGTGTAACTAACAGTGCTGGGCATTTCTTCATCTTCATTTGGTGATACCATCCATCCTGAGAACTCATGTGAATTTTTAAAGCAAGTTAGGTCAAGAGAGAGCATGTAAGAATCAAAGAAAAATAAATTGCATGAGCCTTCAAAACCAAATCTTTCTTGAGCATACTAAAATAGGGGAGTAAGTATAACTTGCATGATATACTTATAAAATACATGTGTACCTTGAAGTTAGCACTGAGTAACTTTGTAAAGATAATATTCAGAATCCAAAAGTTCTTGTATTGTCTCTCATAAAAACATTGAGCAGCATATTTCACAACTTCTTTGTCTTGCCTGAAAGGATTAGTAGCAACTAACACACATAGCTTACTACACTTACAATGTTTTCTTGTGCAATATGCATAACAGGCAGCTACTTTTTTGTTGAATTGATCCATTAAACTCTTGATCCACTTCTTCAATGGTTATCTTTTTTTCCTTCAAGTCAATGCTACCAATGGCAAAACACAAATCTGGTCTAGTCTGATCAGATTCATCAACACAATGCTCCAGCTTAATGGTTGCTGGTTGAGGTAGCTTTGGCATTGTGATATCATATACAGCACTTACAAGAGTATACCCACCAGGAAAAACAAATGGACCAGAGAAGATAGTACGAACTGTGACTTTATGCTGTTCTTTTCTTTTTACTGGCACCTCAATTTCATAGCCACAATTCTCATCCCTTAGAATATTTTTTCCAATTTGAACTTCATACTCAACTTCATCAATTGCATGACACATGCCTAATGAAATTATTATAATTCCTATATTTATGTATAACACATATACACTGTACCTTTGAGCAATCCTTCTATTGTGTTATTTAACATTTTCACTGCTTTATTGCTTGCTGTTCTTCCAGTTGGGTCATTTTTTGCTTTGTGTATGTTGTAGCTATGATATATAATAGAATCAATATCAATTGGTATTGTTACAGCTAATGCGGTTCCAGCTAAAGCCATTCCAGCAACAGGGCCAGCAGTGTAT